AGAGAGAGAGAGAGAGATTGTATGAGTTGTAAGGCCTAGTAAAATGGTACATGTTATTGAGTCATGCTGAAACCAACACAACTAACACATACAAACATGCTTCAGTCATGCTTGTTTCAGGTGACTGTCTGTATTTGCAAGTCATACACACACACACACACACACCACACACAGTAAAACACACACTAGTTTTATGTTACTCAAGGGGATTGTCAATTTTTGCCCATCCAATCCTCTTTACAGCATCAGACCACACACACACACACACCACACACACACACACCACACACACACACACACACATAGATAAGAGAAGGGATAGACTTCAGTTACATATAGACCAGCTAAGTCCTGAAAAGTGTGTGTGTATATGTGTTTATGTGTGTTAACATGCTTGTGTTAGCCATGGATAACCATCCTTGTCACTTCTGAATCACTGTGTGTGTGAATGATTGTTTTATCCCATGCGAATATGACTTTTATAGTTCTGATGGTTTTGTGTTGCCTGTTTAAGTTGTAATCCAATCTTCGGTCTCTAAAATTAGCAACGTTAGGTGCAGTGATAAATAAACAATAACCTAACAGGTGTGCTTTGCGTTACAGAGAGCAGCCCACTAGTTGCAACAGTTGTATCAAGTAGATTGCAACAACCAAAAACTTCCCTGCAAAATTGCCAAATGAGATGCATCACTCAAATGGAGAAAACATTTCTGCCCTTTTTGGTATCATTTGAGTAGTAGGTGTTACTATTTTACGCACTGTTGACTGTGGTTACGCAGTACCCTATGCATTTAAATAATGATTGTTTGTAATCAGCAACCCTCAAAGATGTATGATTTTACCGCTTACAGACATATCGGAACAGGATACTAGAACTCTCTGTTTGGAAACATCTACATCTAATCGGTTCTATTTCTTTATGTGCACTATATAATCCTGCACATGAACACCTTTTTAAAAAGGAGGTACAATTGGGGGCAGTATACTGAATTCCTATAGTATTATGAGTCCCTGTATAGCACATACTGTTTGTCTATGGATTAAACAAACTGAGTTCAGAATCAGTTTGTCCACCATTGTTTATTTTTCAACTGTAAAATGTAGTATACTCCTTATTGACACTGCAGAAACTGCTGGAGAGCTGGAGACAGACACGCTCACTCAGATGGAGGAGGAGAAGGAGAGAGGCATCATGGGACAAGAGCAAGGAGATGAGGGCAAGAACCAAGAACAACCTGCCAGCGGCAACTCCCAGAATTTCATGACAGAAAAAGAGGAGAACTGTGTTGGGGTTTGTACAAAGATGGAGGAGAAGGGGAAGGAGAAGGGAATGGAGGAAGGAGAGATGCAGAAAGAAGTGGAGCTGGAGGCAGAGATGAAGGTGGAGCTGTGCCAGTCTGTGCCAGGCCTGCAGATGAGCTTCATCCAGGGCACTGACCTGTTTGGCTACGTGGGCATCGAGGCAGTACTGGACCAGATGAGGAGCAAGACAATGAAGGCCGGTTTCGAGTTCAACATCATGGTGGTTGGTGAGTCTCACGCACATGAACATAAACACAGTGATGATATCAATAAAGTGATCAATAAAGTATATCTATCTATCTATCTATCTATCTATGAGAGAACTTTGGCAACACCAAACACAGTCAAGACTTTCCAAGGTGTAGTGAAGAGTATATCACTTTATTTAGCAGGTTTTCAGTCTAATTGACCTTCATCAGGGCACACAAAATACAACAATGGACAGGCAGGGGCAAATAACAAGTCCTAATCATTGGCAGTATGCAAAACACCGCCCTGGGTCCTGAGTTTCCAAGTGCTATGCAGCATACACATAGAACCATACTTGTAACAAAACACCAAGAAATACAGAAAAGGGCGTGGAACACAGTAAATATAGGGACTCTGGGATCTCTGATTTATGACAGTTCTAGCCTAATTCCTTTCAAAGCCCCATTGACTATGTGATGAAATTGTAAGGTGCTTCCTGTTTTTCTGTTTGTCCTATATTCCACCCCCTTATCTGTATTGCTTTGTGTTTGTGCGATTTGTGTTTCCCAATAATAATTACAACCCTGAATACCTTCTTTTGCTCTGTTTCTTTGCAATTTCATCTGCTCAGCAGACAATTTGAGTATTAGTGTGACAAGTGTAAAATATTTTGCTAAACTGGTAGATGCCGCTCATCGCCAACATAGTACTCATATTTGGTTACCCAGCTTCCCCATAGCCATAGCAAAGTTCTCCAAGCTCCAAGACAGTTTGACCAATGGCAAAGCTTGCATAGTAACTACAAGGTCACCAGGTCATCATAGAATTTCCTAACAATTGCAATGTCTTAGATCTGCAATGACATAGTGTTGGAAAAGGTAGTTGTTTCAGTGTGTGTGTGTGTGTGTGTGTTAATTTGGGGGTTGCTGGTTCTCTTCCTCATTGAGATCATGTATTTTGCTTTGCTTTTGTGTTGGAAGAGGAAGTATGATTCTGAGAGGAGGAAGTGGTTTTGGTTAGGGCCGTTTGCTCTTTTCTGACACATACACACACAGAGCTGATATATGCTTCCCCCACTGTTTGATTGAAAACAGGAAGTTTCCCCTTGATAATGATTTCTAATTTGAGTATGCTAATTGTTTACTGTGTGTAAAGAATAACTACACTCTTGCTTAAATGCAAGTGTGTGGAGACCTTGGATGCCACCTGTCTGAGGTGCTCGTGGTCATCACATCAGGTCTGTGAGTGTGCTAGGAGACAGGACCTTACTTTGTACCATGTACATAATGAATAACAAAATGTTGACCTATAGTCCAACGCACAAAGAGCAGTGTAGTCTGCTGGTTTCGATATAACAATTTCACAGAGACGGGTGTATTAGTGGAGGGAGAAGAGGTATATAAATAATGTTGGATAGAATTCAGTGTCAACCACACTGTGGTAGATATAGACAGCTGTACATTTGTTGTGATTACATTACTTTATAAAAAATATCAAGACAGGTCATCCAGCTACAGTTCTGGCATGGCTCAGATGCCGTTCTCCGTCAGCAGTTTTTTTTTTCAGGGTCAAAATCCCTGTGTGTATTATCATAAAGATCGAGATTTTTGGGGGGAGTTGTGGTGCCTCTCAGCTTCTAATGACACTAACTGACCCTATAGCTTGATGAGCAGGCAGTATTGTGCATGGTTTTATTTTCTTCTTTAGATAAGGAGACACTCTTTCACATACTTAAGAGAAAGGTTAAAAGCATTGGTTTCATGTGTGTGCAGGTCAGAGTGGTTTGGGGAAGTCCACGCTGGTCAACACTCTGTTTAAGTCTAAAGTCAGCCGGAAGTCCTGCACGCCAAACTATGAAGAGAAGATCTCCAAAACAGTCAAACTGCATACAGTCAGCCATGGTGAGTCACATACACAAACACACACACACACTGTAGGTACACATACATTCTACAGGTAAAGATAGAGGTCGCAGATTGTAGCCAATCACCTTCTCTGCAAATGATACGCTGCAATCTGCAGCATCTTGCAGCGCGCCAGATGGTGATGGAGGAGGTGATAGTGGTATAGAAGTGCACATCACGTGTCTTTTGCACAATTAATGTCCTCAGCTGCCACATCACCCACTGGGCTTTTTTTGGTAGAGATCTTGAGATCCTGGGTGATGATGATGCCCAGGAAGGACTCCTCAGTTTTAACTAGGCAGTCACACAGGGTCACTGGGGCTGCAAGAGGAGGGACAACAAGCCTGTTTGTCCCCGCACTTTCAGATGTTACGGTAACCTTTTCAACTCTGTAATAAATATGTCCGTGGTTGCTGAGCGGGCTCAGCTTTAAAGCTAGAGTGAATATGATCATGATATGAATTTAGAAGACCTGGGGCATCCATTGACTTCCATTTGTGTCATACTAGCTTATCCAAATTTAGACTAGATTTTGTGATTTTGAGCTATTTAAAAAGGGATCCCTTGACTTCTGACCTCAAGATATCTGAATTAAAGTCAAGTCTCTTTACAGACATGCCCACTCTATGCTAATC